GATCTAAACCGATTTGTCACCGTACTTGAATCCGAGTGAGCCGAGGAATGGCGTTTGCTAAATTGGCCCCAAAGGGCCTCTTTGTTCTATATTCTGTTTCATGGTGTAGGGGTGTATGACGACTTCTGGTGTAGGAAATTTTAAATAATATTAATTAAGTTTAAGGAATATTTTAATTTTATTGAGTTTGTACATATTTAAAATGAGATTGTAAATAAATCTATTGACACTGTATATGTACATTCATTCCTCCATTCTTTATTACCGGTGTATACAATATATGCAATTAAGCATTGTATTAAATCAATTTTTCTTACAAATAAAACTACTTTCCGAAGTTAGGATGTATTTTTACCTGGCAGAAATCTAGGAAAGAGAAGAGATTGGACAGGTAGAGAAATATCTGGCGGTGGTCCTGTAATATATTATGTAGCATGTTCCTCTTCTTCCGGACTAACTCTTAACTCTCCCCGCGGAGCACGTCCTGTATCACTTCTCCCGAATCCTTTGAATCCTTTATGATTCGGCAGGTCCTTCGTCTCTCGTTTGTCTTCTGTATTGGCCCGGACATCTCCATCCTTCTTGCCCTCTTGTCAGTTAGCGCTGAACAACGGTTTGTCTGGATTTTCATTAATCAAGAAATAACATAATTAAAATTAAATTCATTAATGGAATAATAGGTTAAAGATTTTGTTATTTTCAAAAGTTTTAATGATGTTTTTTGTAAGCTGAACAGTTAATAATTTAGTTTTTTTGGCATTTTTAAGTGTCGTGCAATCTGAGGTACATACTCAATTAAACATACCAGTGGCTTCATATCAAAGACAGACATCCGTCATTTTAAAAAAAAGCCAATTTTTTAAATTCAGTTTCAATTTAAATCAATTATAATGGTTTATTTTCATGATTCAACTTGAATTTTTTAAAAATAAAACCGTAAGAAACAGTTTGAGTCGAACGAAATAAAAAAAAACAAGTCATTTTCAATGATTCAATTTTTCAAATGATTTTCTTTTTAATTAATCGATTACAAAGGTTCTTTCAGAATAATAAGCCAAAAGGTGTACAAATTACAATTGACTATATATTTGCCGAAAATGATCCAAGTTCGATATTTTTTTCCAGAGAATTTGTAAACCTTTGAAGTTATTATAGGCACAATAAGCCATAAATGAACTTATGAATAATAAGTTTTTTAATACTTGCGCAATTAAAGTTTTCCTTCCTTCATAACGTTTTTCCTAACTTATCTCAGAAATTTGCTTAATTTTCCCCACCTTGAGGAGCTGACCTTCAAAATAATGATTCAATTACATTTGGAGTAGACCTTGTCTAATTCAATGGTTTTAAATACAAGAAAAACATCACCTTTAACATGTTGTTACTACATTTTTAAATAAAGTCAATAAGGTAAAATCATTACCAATTACTCTTTACTATTTAAAGATTTTACTACGAAAAAAGAAACCAATTACTCGCTTACGATTTACTTAGCACCCCCCATTGAACTGTTTAGACACGATAAGATTTCGGGGTCTATGTATTGAACTGAGGTAATACACGATCCGATACGGCTATTACCGTATGCTTCAGAGAGTGACGTCTCTACTAAAGTCTCGCATCAGACTCGTCGCAACTCACGCTACGCAAGTATACCAACCACTTCACTCTGAAGACATTGGCTCGCATACTATCCAATCAAATGCTCGGCCGCTCTATGGTACTGCCTGTAGTGAAAACGCTGACCCCAGATCCACGATGCGTAGGGTGTTCCGTGTCCCTACCCTTGATCGCAAGTACCAAACATAAATAACCCTATTTACTCCTCGCTAACACGCCGCGGTCGCTTAGACCGGGTCAGTTATGGCCAACTTCATCAGGCGTGACCCAACCGGACACGCCCCTACGGTCGGCCCATGCCCCCACCCACCCCTATCAATCACTACCAACACACCATATTTTATTTTTTTTCCATTTCAATTGTGATTGAAGACCCCCCCCACCCTAAATAAAAAAATTAATGGATCCTCCGCTTCCTCGCCGTTATACGGTTATACGGGGTTTTGCCGGGCCAGGGGGTGTGGGATAAATAACACATTTGTCATTTATCAGGTTGCCGGGCAATGGTGGTGCTGTGCACAACGTGTTAGCCCATTCGGCCATCCCGTCCACTTGAATGCCCCAACCATCCTTCTCTTCAATTGTGTACTTCATTAATTACAACCCTTAACCAACTTTTGCTGTTAAAAGTATCTACAATCAACCATTTTCCCATCAATATTTGTATCATATATACTTTTTTGTCTAATCTATATTTGTCAAAGTATTTGACATATTTAGTGTTCGTGACTGTTCTTATTTGTTACAATGACATGCTATGTTAGTTTTTTTTGTTTGATTTTGGCAATTTGAAATTATCTTATTGAAGGGTTCCCTCATCAATAGATATCGTTTTTTTCCCTGGACATCGGTGATTTCCCATCAAATTCCGATAACTGAGAAAAAATTAATTTATTTGTCCCTCTTACAGTGGTCCCGGTATTTGCTGGGTGTGCCGTCACAACCTGCGCTGCTTTTATTGCAACATGAGCCAAATTACTGAGGGTAACCGTACTGTACGTCATCACAAAGGACGATTTCCCTCAGCAAGTCGGATAATTAATCGTACTTAAGCTTTCATATACGAGTGAAAAATTAGGTGCAGTTTAACCATTCTAATTTCCTTCAATAAAAAAGAAATAAAAAGAGAGGGTAGAATAAAAAAGCCAATAGAAGAATGAAGAATAACAATTGATAGAAATGGTGGGCGCTTGAATGTCAGCTTTATTAATCTGAAGCCTATAACGTGAAACATACAATAAATATGTCTATTTCTCTTTATTTATTGTGTATATACATATTGCAATTTTTCAAATGATTTATGATTTCAACAACTTACGACTGATTATATTTGTACTATATTATCCATAAAATCATCACTTGTTGCCTTCAGCAAGTGGAGTATGTTAGTTCGGGCCTGTGGAGTGTCCTTATCGAGTGAAGTCCATAACCTCCATAACCTGAATGTCCCTCCAATGTGCTGGAGTCAGTTTGGAGGGTCTGCTTTTGTGGAATGTCGATCTTGAATGAGTTTCCTAGATCTGTTCCTTCACATTATCTTTTTTTTTCTTTCTTATTATATTAAGATTTACCATTATAATCATAATAATATATAAGGATACAGGACTTTATAAATAAATAAAACTTGATATTATGCTTCTATATCAACCCTTATAGATGAATTTAAAATTGTTTAAGTAGCAGATTTTTTTTTCTAGCTAGGTGGAAATGATATTAACGTCACGCTCAGTAGATAAAAGGCTCGACTGATGGTAAAAGTAAAATTTCTTTTACACTTAACTAAATTTCTCCTTCATTTTCCATCTAACGTTGAGTGACCGTTTGATTAATTTCCGTAGAAAGGTTTAAGAAGATAGGCGTAAAAGCTTTTAAAGCGGATCTCTCTCTTTATCTTAGGAAAAAGCTCCCCTGAGGACGAGGACAATGCTTAGTCAAGTTGGGCCGTTTTCATCAAATCATTAAGACTATTCTTCCTATGATTTGTAGGAACTTATTTAAAATTATTTAGACTATTAATATCATTACAGCAGAACTCATTCGTTCATAATTTTAGTCCCAGAAAAACTCTGTAAATACAAAAATAAAATTTTAAGGATATTTTCAGCAACTTTTAGTAGTTTCTCAAGAGATAGAGTGAATGTTTTATCCGTTGTATATATATATATATATATATATGTTTTCCCACTACATTTTTGGCTGATTCTTGCCATTGGTGTCATAACCCTTTTATCCCTGCCAAGGTTTCTTATTTCTTCAAGGTTCACCAGAACTTGCTTTATCCCAAGTTATCTATCATTTATTCTTTAAATGATTTTTGACCTCCGGTCTCTTATAAAAATTCTTATATTTACTATCGTTCAACAGTCGCCGACGTTTCCAGTTTCGAGTCTGAACTGTAAAAAGTTCTATCACATTACTCACTAATGATCTATATATTCATAATAAGAATTTTATTTAAATATTTAAAATTATGTAAATAACACCTGAAACGCGTAAGAATCAACTATTTCGTTTTCTTATTAAACAGAACTTTCAGCGTAATTCAATTTGTTTTATTTTAATAATAATGAAAGTACTACAATTCATTTCAATGTCAGAAAGCATACTGAAGGGCTTAAGAATGAGGAAAGTTCAGGTCGAAACAATAACAATAAATGCCTTTCTAGGAACTAAACAGCTTACTCTAGGAAAAAGCTTTTTTATTGTTATCCAATACTTTAGACAAGTTCTATTCTTTAAAAATTTTCTAGTTTAGTCTACTTCTTTCTTTGGTAGCGTTAAATTCAAACCATTGATAGTCTCAGAATTATTCCCCTTCCTAATATTCTCTATTTAAATTGTAATCTTAATACGAACAAAATAGTAAAATATAGTAAATATTTATGCATAATTATAATTTCTATAATCTAGCACAAAAAGTGCATGTGCAATTTTATACAACAAAAATCAAAATGGTGCAAATTGAACAAAAAGTAAATTCGACTTATACCATTATCATTCTAAGCCCTTCATGCAATTTATGTAATGACAATATTTTTTAATTTAATTCTTATTAGAAAATTGCTGAATAAGTACAACATTTTTTTAACCAATAAATTAAAAAAAAATGATTGATTTGAAAATAAAATGATAAGATTCTTGGTTTCAGGAGTGATGTTATAAACACTGTCTTATTATTAGGTATGTCCATTTAAAAATTATAAACATTATTTTGTGGATAATATAGTTGTTTATTTTAATCAAAATTTTCATTGTAATGAGTAACTTAACTGTGGAAATTAATATATTGTAGTGTCTAAATATGTTATAGATATTTAATATTTTATGTCGGATTACACTCTTACATTCATTGTCCAACAGAGCAATACAGTTTATCCTTCATGCAATTCCCTGATCTACGAACGAATAAGCACATGTGGCCTTTGAAACTCCTAAAAAGGAATTAAAATAAAACAAATTCATTGTAAGAAAATAACAAACGAATAATTACTATAACTTTTTATAGTAATTATTAATGTCTTTATTTTATTCTTGAAATAATTTGGTATTTTGATATTGTAGATTTCAAGTGTTATAATCTGTTTTCAAAATGACATATTCTTACAATTTGTTAATTTTATAAAAATAATTGATATAAAATTAATTTAACTAATTAAATAATTGGATCCCTCATAAGCACGATAAAATGAATTGGCTTCTTTTTTTTTCTTTATGTTATTTAAGTATACAGGCTAGGTGAATGAAGTTGCCACTTGATATTTTTAAAAACACCAACTTATTAAGCTAAAGGTGATATATTTATAAGGATCGATAAAAACAGATAAAGGAAGCTATCGAGAAAGGCAAGAAGGATAATCAGTAAAGTTGGGGCAGTTTGTGGTAGAAAGAGAACCAAGGCGAGTTAAAACTAAGACCTCAACCTAATTGGGCCGCTATAAGTAGAAGAAATGGATCCGGTAGCCATCTTTATTGTGCACTGCAGCAACAGGAGTCGAATCTTCCATTAGCAGATTGATCTGGGGCTCTACTCCAATCTAATTTTCAGTTCCTCCAAGAGGTTGCTTCTTCTTTTTCGACGGCCAAGGATCAACTGAGAGCGCTGCCAAATACCATCGCTCAGGAGTCAGGGAAAACACCATCTTCCAATACCATTTATTAGCTGATTACTTTTGCACTCAGCCCTGTAACGTATAAATCGTTATTTATTTAAATTTGAAAGATTATAAATTTTTATTCTTTTGAACCTTTTTTTTTTCAAAATAAAATCCCTAAAAAATGAATTTCAATGTCGTTTATTGATTTCTTCTGCACTTCCGAAGGCAGGAAAACTTTTTATTCCTGCAGTATATTTAAAACTTTAATGACATTTTCAGGTATTGGATGGACTGTTAGCTGCAAGATCTAACATAGATTTCCGAAAATTTCGTCTTCTTGTTCTGCTTAGGCCTGCTTCAAGTATGTCTAAGTTGTTATATATGAACGTAATGAATATAGGGCCAATATCATTAAAAATGTGAGTGTCTATACCATTCCTTTTTTTCAGCCTCTAACAAATTACAGAAATAACTCAAAAAATAAATCAGAACTATTTGCAAAATACGCTGGATTTGGTGTTATTCATGGAATAGATTGAAGCGTTACAAACTTGTTTTATTATTATTATTAATGATATTTACAACTGTATTAAATAAATACATCTCGTAAATTTGAACATATGGATATAGTGACATAAAAACACTTGCTGTGTAACTACCCAATGGTAGCACTGTAATGATATGCCTACATTAGGAAATCATCTTCTTTTCAGACCCCTCGGAGGGTTATCAGGAATTGAAGAGGAAGCAAGGTTAGAAACGAGAGGGATGGGATGATTCTGAAGTTTATTATGAAAGGATATGTATCTGGATTGGGCTAGATCTGAAAAAAAAGAAACATTAAGGTCATTATGGATGGTTTTATTTGTAACAAAGTAGGGAGCATTGAGGATTTTACGAAATATTTTGGATTGTAAGGATTGGATACGACAGGAATTTTATGGTTTAGTGGAGCCCCACAGCTTAACTCCGTAAGTCCAAATAGGCCTTATTATATTTACGTATATGAGTCTTTTGTAATTAATTGGAAGTTTAGAGTGTTTGTCTAGTAAGTGCTGAAGTAATCGGAAACATCGAGCAGTTTCTTGTCGTTTCAGTATAATATGAGGATTCTAAGTTAGTGGTTTGTCCAGATGGAGTCCTAGGTAGTGGATTTGCTAAACAGGGATAAGTGGAGTATTGTTAAAGGAAACTGTAGGACTGGAAGTCATTGGTTTACTACGAAGGGTCAAACTTGAATGATTGATTGAAAATGATTTTCCTTGACTGTTAATATTTAAAATCCGTAATATAAAAAATATTTGAGAGATAATGATTTGTCAGAAAGCTGAAATCATAAGGACGATGTTGTTATCAACTTTTAATCGAACATTTATTGAAACATTTTTAACAAATTAATTTATATGTAAATGCTTACTGTACTTCATGAAAAAAATACCTTTTTTTCAATTATTTGTATATTTTTAACGGATAAAAGTACTCACTAAAAAAAAAATATTTATTTCTAATATTGCGGAAATCAAATATTCTATCTTTATTTTATCCAAGCTTTTGAGGGTCTCCTTTATTCAATGCAATAATAGTTGCTTGCTAAAATGATACACCAGACGAAAAAATTTTCATAATGACGCTAAGTAATGATGAGTATATTTTTCAAATAGATGCACTTATATATTTTATAAATATTTATTTGATTATAGTTTATATATTTGAGTGAAACAAAAAGGTTGTTGAAAAGTTACCTGCCGTATCCTGTATCCGGGCGAATGCTTTCTATCAACGCTAGGTACTGTAGCTCAACTCAATTTGCATTTAGAAACATTTTCTCCAGTTTCCTGAAACTAGGCAGTAATTCGTTTTGGAATACTCGCTTGTTTTTACTGTCGTGGACCATTTGAAACTCATTTAGTATGCAACGCCTCTCTTACTTTCTGAGATGATGGAATGGCTTAAAACTTATTTAGCATTTTAGAAACCAACTTGTGGGTAAGTCGCTCTAACTTCCATCTAGAAATATTACAGTAAAGACCGTTTGGATAATTGCCTCAATTTACTTGTTCGAAACTTGTTTTTCCTATATTCATCCTATATTCATATATATATTTTCCCTTTCAACAGTTTTAACAGAATAGAATGTATTTAATGTTAAATGCATTTGGTTTATCTACATTGTTCTGTTATGAAAAAATAAATTCATAATTGGTAATTGGTTGACTGTCGTGGATAATGAAGAGAAGAATAGTTGGGGTGGTCAGTCAAAAAGGAAGGCAAAAATAAATGATAATATTTATTTTTTACATATGCCGACGTTTCGACCTGAAGTTCAGGCCTTCATCAGGGCTAAGAAAATAACCAGATCTCTTATCTCTTAGTTCTTAGTCATTATTCTAACAATTTCATTTTACTTTATATTTATCTATATTATTTTTCTAATTTTTTTATTTTATTTTTTTATTTTTTATTATCTTTTTTACCATCAGTACTTATGTTTCTCATACCTTGTTATCTGGTTATTTTCTTAGCCCTGATGAAGGCCTGAACTTCAGGTCGAAACGTCGACATATGTAAAAAATAAATATTATCATTTAAGGAAATTATCGTTTAGCAATATTTTCAAAATATTTTTTTTTTCATTTCATTCACTTATTTGAATTTATTGAACACTAATTTGGAATAATATTCCACGTTTTTAAAGAGGTCTATATAAAAACACAACAGACAATAGTCAAATAGTAACAAACATCTTTAAAGAATCAATAAATAGAAATAATAATAATTAGAAATAATCATTAATATAATAAATTAATATTGAACAACAATTAATTTTATAGAAAAAAAATAAAAGCAAGAATATTGAATTTATTTTTTGAAGAGAAGAATAGTTGGGGTGGTCAGTCAAAAAGGAAGGCAAAAATAAATGATAATATTTATTCTTCTCTTCAAAAAATAAATTCAATATTCTTGCTTTTATATTTTTTCTATAAAATTAATTGTTGTTCAATATTAATTTATTATATTAATGATTATTTCTAATTATTATTATTTCTATTTATTGATTCTTTAAAGATGTTTGTTACTATTTGACTATTGTCTGTTGTGTTTTTATATAGACCTCTTTAAAAACGTGGAATATTATTCCAAATTAGTGTTCAATAAATTCAAATAAGTGAATGAAATGAAAAAAAAAATATTTTGAAAATATTGCTAAACGATAATTTCCTGTTTTGTAAAACGAATTCCAGAAAAGCTACATTTTTCTATTGTTATCTTGCTCATGCCATTTTACGAGTAATGAATGACGAATGCATGAACAAAGAACGGACGGATTAAATGCTAGACCAATTTTATCTACTGATAAGTTAAAACGCTGCAAATTATTCCACAATGGTTTATTATTTCCAGACAATTATACATCTAAAGTAACATTACCTTCATAGTTACTAAGAAAAATAAATAAATAGGTGATTCTAATTATTGGACTATTTTTTTACTGTTTTTTTAATTGGTAAATTTTATGTCATTGGTAATATGCTAAAAAAAATAGCATTATATCAGTAACATATTCAAAATTTAGAAACCAAACAAAGGATATAACATTTGGAGTAGAACATAACGGTTTAAAAAAAACCGGAAACCATATCTTTGCACCTAACTGTCCAATTTTAACGATTTTTTTTTTTTTTTTTAGGAGATTCCGTAAACTTTTAAATAACCATACAATATTACATATAAGTATAAGTGTAAACTTTTTGAGTTATTCGGAATTTAATTTTACCATCCCTCGTAACTTTTTTTTCAGCTTCTTTTTGTTGAAGTATGTTATATATATATATATATATATATAAATTTAAAGGGCGTCAAGAAAATGACTTTAGCGAAGTTTCATTGAAATCGGTACATTCGTTTAGGAGCTACAGTCTATAGCAACGCAGGTTTTTTGGCCGCCATTTTGAAAGTAAAAGGCGGATGGCTATGTCGATAAAGGAGGATCATCCTTGGGTGACCTCTGATTTTACATCCAAATTTGAAAATAATCTGTCCAGTAGTTTCGGAGAAAATGCGCGGACGGCGGACGGACAAAAACATTTTTATTCGTTTTTCGAATTCTACGCATCCTGAAACGTGAAACCACAAATTTTGAGAGCGGGTTAAGATTTTGAATTTGTTGGTCGATCACAATGGTTGATTATTGAAAATAAAAAACCAAAAGCAGTTGTTTAACGCAGGTTATGTTCCCAGCTGAACAAAAAAAAAAAAAAAAAAATAGAATGACAAATACCTGTTTATGCAGCTTTCGCCTGATTCTTAGAACGCGGTGTCTTGAGTTGCATGACAGTTTCACATTTTGCAAGTCTTACATTTCTGAGTACGTAACTGAACACGACATTACTGTAAACGTACATATTTCCGCTTGACTGTAAAGCTTCAATTTTAGTATTATATGTTATTGCAACTACATATAACATATTATACAGTTAACAATATTACAATGACTGACACATTTTTTTTAACTTAAACACAGTTTTTAATTTACTAAGAAATATAATTCTACAAGTATATAACTGACCGCTCAAGGTAAAGGATATTTTTTAGAGGTAAAATAAGGGAGATGAAGAAATTTACTCCTGAAATTACCTTAAGAAAACCGAACGGACTAGGACGTATTTTTAAAAAAATTGTTTCCATTTTTTATATTTTTTCTTTTGATTGTTCAAGTTTTTAATTAGGGAAATTTGAACTTTCGGTTTTTTTCCAAATTCTGAATCACTTTAATTTTTATTGATTTTATTTTTCTTTGGATAGTGATCTCCTGCGAATTTATTAGTTTGTAACTTTTATTAAAATTATTTAATACTAGCCGATGTATCCGTCGTTGACTGGTGTATAGTTAAAATTTGAGAATCTTTTTTTGAGATGGATTTCGTATTATGGGGAGGGGATTCAAATTTAATTTCATAAAATTAAGCGGAAGAGAATTGTTTTGAAACAAATTATGGGGCTTATGAAAGTCAAGCTTTCGCAATGGTCATAATAAAAACTTTGTTATTCGGCTATTTGTTTAGGTGCCACACAGCTAAACCGTGTCCACCACCGATGCATTTATGATGAAGCGAAGAGATTGTGGAGTCAGTTGAAATAATCAAAAAGAGTTTTAGTTTCTCCACTCCTTTAAACTCTGCTAAGTTTATCGCTGGAAAAATAACCAAAATAACATTGGATATTGAGTCACTTACATCCGTGTAAAATTACAACTTGATCTGTATATTGTGTATGGGATGGAGGGGTGAAACTTTTGGAAGTTTTTTTTTCCGATTTTCGGCTAATCCGTTCGGTTAATCCTAAAAATGTATACAATATTTGTTTGGCTCGGGAGGTTGAATCCAATGACACCTTCAACAAAGTTGAAAAAATGAGTTTGTTTTACGAGTGTTTTAAACGACAACGTGCTGGAGATGTTCGGGATTTCGGTTTTTTCCCGTTGAGTTGTGATAATTTTTTCCACCACTTCAATAGTACAACTTTTAAATGTGGCTCGCGGTAGAGTAGGTTGGTATGAGAATCGAAGTAAGTACCTGCCTAACCGGGATCTCTAGACAAATTACTCAATAATTCTTAACTTTGGTTCTACTCAATATTTTGTTTTCATTTAAAGCCTATGTTTTAAGTCAAGCATACCTAAATATGAAAATTCCACTATTAGCCACTGCTGAGCTTACCTCTGACAAAACTTCGTTGGACAATGAGGACATATAGACAGAATTTTTTTTTTAATTTGGATTGGTGTCTGTATTATATGAAACGGAAAGATATCACGAAACGGGTAGATTATTTTCAATGTATAGACAAAACCTTTATTTTATTTATATAGATGTTCTCAAACTGATACATGTATTATGCTTAACCGGGTCGTATTCAACCATGATTAAAACTGCTCAAGAAGATGCAGTGCACCAGAAACATCGATAGGAGGTTATGTAATCTTACTATCAGTTGTCAACCAACAGTTCGTTAAATAGGAGCTTCAAGTTCCGTCTATTTTCTCTTCATTTGTCACTTTTGGCTTACACTACCTATGTCACGTCTGACCCACCTTTTTTTTTAACGTAGTGGGATTAGACCCTTTTGTTTGGAATGTTTGTTTTTTACTGGTTGGTTTTTAAAATACAATTATTTTTTTCAGCTGTCTGAGCTTTTTGTATTAAGGTAAATGTTCAAATAATAGACACTTTAAAAGAAACTTTCAACATTAATGTGGACCACAGACTTAGTTCTTTAGTAGACCTTTACAAATGGGTTTGATTGACATCATATTTATACTTTCACCAATTTCGTTTTTTGTATATAGTCTAATAATTTATTATTCATGATAAACTTAGGATATGCTGACAGCGTATTTTGCACCAGTAATAGACACCTAGGTTTGGGGACCGACAAGTTTTTTGTATAATTGTTATTTAAATTTTATAACATTTACTAAGACAAAAATAAATTTTTAATGGCCTATTTTAGTTCTGAAGTAAAAAAAAAAATTAATAATTGAGCAGGAAATCTTTTCATGAAGAAATTGTAGAAAATAGTCAAACATTTGTCATATCCTCCAATATGTAACAAACAGTTATAGTATCCTTAACTATTCGTAGAAAAGAAATAAATGTTAGGAAAACTTTGTAATAAGTTGTTATTTTTTATTATTCTACATAAGAAACATTACTTTCTATCTTTTATTCCTAAGAGTTCAAGTTTAATTAACCACAAAAAGTTAGGTGAAATACGATCCACCTCGTTAACTGTTTCCTAGAATTTTGCTTTGTTAACTGAGCGTTACTTACGGAGCATGTACAAATAAAAAAACAAATGATATTGCACTTAATAATTTTGATATCCCATATGATTGTTG